ATATTTTTTTCTGTCGCCAAAATTAACAGCTGATAAACTGCTACAACAAATGGCATCTTAGATCTTTCCTGCACTCGCTCATCGCCTCTAGAGCTTGAAAGGCCGTTGAGTCGGTTGAGACTCGAAGAGCGCGAGTGCAACACCTTATAAGCTGAAATTGCGTGACTGTGATCAGGTCGATTCCGCAATGTCACCTTCTTTTCATGAAAGCTGACTTGGTGTCATGTATGGCATCTATAACGAACAGAATATAATGGCAATGAGCATTTCAGAAATCACCACCATCGCTTCCTAGTCAAATTCCTGGGTAATGGTGTCTTAAAGCTGCTACTGTATGACTAGAAGGCTGCTAATGAAATTTAATCGTATCCTCAGAGGCTAACGGAGAACCTGAGTAAACTCCTGATGCCAGGTTAGAGAGTAGGGCGCGATTCGCGAAAATTATTTATTCATTAATCATTAAAATTATTCTCCCTAAGAACTATTTTCTTTGCTAATATTGCATATTCGTTGCTAAATCAATTCGCATGCTGAGCTCCCTGTATGTTGCGGAATTTACGCGGTTAACTTTGCTTCTCAGCGTCACATAGTAATGACATCAGGAAAACAGCACAGGAAATATTGTGAAGGCTAGCAACCGCAGTAGTTTCAGTAGTATCTATCCGAATAATTTGCATGCGAATGAATGGACTCTTTTTGCTGAGTCAAAAACAAACTAGCATTGCAAATGCACAGTAGATTAATTAATTTTTTAAATTATCGTATGTTTCGTTGCTATTGTCCAAAAGCTTCCAATTAACAATGCAATTATGAGCGTGAGGTTGCACAGTTTAGACGGATTCGCTTTCGTTTATTTCAATGTGTTCAAGTTGCCTTCATTTGCATTCATATTCTACACAAAATCGGCTGAAGAGACAATCGACTGGATTAACAGCTTTCGGCAAGCCAACGTAACGTATTTTTTCTGCTGCGTTAGTTGTGTGCTAAACAACAGTTTATTTCAGGACGAGTACCTGCTGATGCGCAACTGCAAAAGCCTGACGCAAAGCTGCGAGGTTTATGGCAAAGGGGCTTCCTCCGTAATGCGGCAGAATGCAACACTTAACGATAATGACGTCTTGCCTTACCTCAGACCTCACAAGCGAGAGTCCTATTTCAAGCACAGACCCGAAATGATCGGGGAACACGGCCGATCATTGAGCATCAATTCGGCTCGAAATTCGCTGTCTCTCACTATGCGCAAGAGATTCAGCGTTGACGAGGCTTTTCTGGCACTTGGAAAGCACTTGAATATAAGTAGAGGCTTCGAAAGTGTGTCCCTGAAGAACAGGAGAAGCTTGGAACTGTTTTCTGAGAGCATCGCTCCTCAACGACCAGTGTCGTGCATTGAAAACGTTTTGAGCAATTTTCACGACTCTCCTGAAAATCCATCACCATCATTGCTGATACAAGACAAAGTGAAATCTTCGCCGCTTCAGATATCGAGCATCGAAAACAATACCTCTCAAAACATGTCACAAAGTTTGCCGAGGATCAAAGTGGATCAGGTCGACATTCCAACTTCTTCGAAACATCAAGATCATAGTGACCGTAGCTGCAGCACCTTTAATGTTCCAAATGACGTCAGACTGAGCGGTGAAGCTGTCCCTCTTGATCATGTGCGACACATCGAGGAACAACTGCGGACTTTGTCTTTGCTCTGTCGACCGACCGATAATCCGTGCCTTCACCGACGGGTCAGAGCAAGCAACCTCCACGCTTTTGACTTGCAAGATTTGATGGGCCCTCTGCAGGAGGAGTCAAAAGGAGGTTCTGACGCCGTCAATTCTGCCATTACTGAAGCCCTAGCCACTGAAAAATGCAAATGTACCCGGGATAAGCATCTGGTCGAGGAACTACAACGGGCTAAATCTCTGTCAGAGGATACTAAGGTAGTTATATCGAAATCTTTCGATGACAGTGCAAAACTTTCTGAGCTCTCAGCTTGTGACGACCCGGTTGAGATTCTCCAGCAGTCCTCAGGCACTATCTCAAACGGTAACTTTGTTGATCCTCTTTAAAGCTTAGTCATTTTTTATCGGTTCATTTTTTAGACGGGTATTATTCCCTACGAAGAAAACACTGCAAAAAGATAAAAAGCAATCAGCAGTACCAAGACACGTTACATCACTTTCTGGAATGCGCGGCGGAAGTTTCGTATGACGTTATGAAAACACAGTTTCTCGTATAAATATTCTTACTTAACGTTTAGGGAAGTGTAAAAGT